GTGTGTGTGTGTGTGTGTACATAAAGACCGCAGTAGAAGCCCAGACAGAGGCTGAGGGCCGATTGAATCTGCTGGGATCGATAAGTGCGAGGTAAATAAGGCCTCCCGCTGCGGTCAGGCTGTTTAACGAAGCCCTGCACTCGGTCAGGTGTGTTCAGATAAAGACAACACCAGCCAGCCCAACATCTGTTCTCTGACGGAGGAGATATATTACATCCCACTGCTAGAGAGCAGAGAGGTGGAGCGAACAGCAGGAGTCTGCTAAACATCCTCTGATCAGCCAAAAGAACATCACAAACACCAAGAGAGTCATGAGAGAACCACACACTCACACACACACACACCTGATCACCTGACACACACACACATACACACACAAGGTGCATTCGACTTAACGCAGTGCTGCGCAGATCGATCAAATTCTGACTTGAAGCAGTGCATGCCGTTTAGAAATTTTGTCCGACTTGAGACGGCGGCGACGCCACGTGACTGTCACGTGTGGCATCAAAGTACCACAAGAGCGTTTCTGAGCAGAAAGTGTCCGGCTTGACGGCTCCGTTTTCAACTCCGCCCCCGACTGCAAGCAGCTACTCTCGCCAATCTGTCTGCGCAGCGCTGCATGAAGTCGAACACACCTATCCACACACACCTGATCACCTGACACACACACACACCCTCACCTGATCACCTGACACACACACACACTCACCTGATCACCTGACACACACACACTCACCTGATCATCTACTCATGCTTATGAAATCACCTTTAGAGATCATTCAGACTAGAATAATCTGATTCAGGCCCATCAGAATGACTCACTATCATGAAGTACATCAGAGAACATACAGAACAGAACATACAGATAGAGAGGGTACAGACAGACAGAATAAGGCCATTGGTAACTACTCTAGCGCTGGCTTAACGGTATAAATCATGGCACATCAGGAAATCCATCACATTTCAAAGCTGTAATGATCTTCTCAAACCCACTCGGAACAGCTTCAGGACACCTGAAAGCCCTTCAAACATCAGACAGAGAATCAACACACCTGCATCACAGCAGACACTCCTACAGACTCATATCCACAGAATTCACTCATTTATACTGGATCTCTGTACTGCGGCTTTTTCCATGCCGTCGTCTCCTCGGGATGAATCGCTTGTGTCGTCGTGTTCCTCATTCATAAGCTGTTTGGGTAAAAGCAGCTGCTACATAAATAAATGTCAATGTAATAATGAAGCCTATATAAAGATCTAGAGACTGTTGAAAAAACAAACCATCTGTCAACGCTGTACTAGACTCAATTACCCACAATCCTCAGGAGAGATTCATCTAAATCTAGAGACTGGCACTAACACATCAAGACCCCTGTTTCCTGGGGGAGGGGCTTCTCATACAGATTAGGCTCATTAATATGCTACACTGATTTATTTCAGTGCATCTCCATCACAAACAGGTGAGAGGATATTATCAGTCATGGTGTGTGTGTGTAATTATCTCAGTGATGTATTACTGTCCTAATGACCTCCACACTTTGGTGTCTCTGTGAACCGGCGCTGAGGCTCGCCCGAGCCGTGAGGACAAACTGAGCCATTCGAATACACTGAAATACGTGTGTGTGTGTGTGTGTGTTTGCTCAACTCCAACGATGGCTGAGAGCTGGTTATATTTATAATATTTACATTAAGAGGCACATTCTGGTTTGACTCGTCCTCGTGTAGATGTTTAACACAGCCATCTGCCGGTAATTTACACCAGAGACATTTGCTCATAAACCCGCTCTAATCCAATCAGCACAAGCGACTGCACATGGCTCGTGTCGTTTAACTGATCGCTCTTAATGTGCACCCTTAATCTCTCGCCCTCCTGCTCCACGCAAATCTGATTTTACATCTGTAATTACAGAAAGAGGCCTGAGATCTCACGTCTGACAGGCTGCACGAGGCGCTTCATTTCTGAGGAAAACACACATGAAACCACATTAAAGAGTCCCGGCATCATTTCAGGGCTCCGAGCGACTGAAACGCATTTCCATAAACTAACAACAGAGTCATTTCTGCTCGACTAGCATCAGCAAACAGAGAACGATTCCTGATCGCTCGCCGTCTGCCGCTGCTCAGACAAACAGAAAATCCAGCAACAGCCACTAGTCTAGCACTCTACCAGTCTTGAGGAAATGGGTGCCTTTCTTAAGGGACGTGAACAAAGACACGTTCTTGAGTTCAAAAGCAACATAATGCACAATTCACTTTAAAATATGAGGGGGTTTAACTCGGCAAACGGAGAAACACACTGATTAACGCAGAACAAATATCAAGACCAAAATAAGCACTTCACATTAATGTTAACTAAGTATCATTAACTAACACTGAACAATCATTTTTACAGCATTTACTTACCTAACTTAAAGCTGATTTATAAATGCACTGTTGTTTATAATTGTTAGCTAATGGAACTGTACATTAGTATATGCAGAAATAAACCAAAATGAAGAAGTGCTGTAAAAGCTGTTCATATTTTAGTTCATGGCACCTAATGCACAAACTAACGTTAACAAATTGAACCTTACTAAACCTAAAAAAAATAGAAAAATTTAATTTAAAAGGATGTGATTCAAACACCACTGAAAAAGTCAAACCATCTGTAAAGTAGCAGTTTTCGGTCTCTTTTGCGGAGTGCATAGGTATCAGTTTAGAGCCGATAGCAAATCATCATTAAACGTGAATCGCTCTGTGATCGGAGATGAGAAGTCACCAACACATACCACTGGATCGACATCAATTACAAAAAGCATCACAACGACAGACGCAATGACAGAAATTTCAATTTTGGAAGAACTACTGCATGAAATGTGAAAATACATGCAGTAGTACTCTATAATACTGTATGTAGTCAAACATACATTACATACAGAAATGGAGCACTAGCACACCTTGATACCTCATCTAACCCTGAGGGGGAACACTAGACTCCTTTGCTGAAGATTCCCCAGGGAAATAAATCTCTAATGCAGAAACTAATACAGAACTCACACAACGACTGCCGCGTCCGTTTAACGAGATTATTCCCGCTGTGTCATTCGCAGAAAGTCGAATAACTCAAGTTTCTGCCCACAAGCCGCTTTACATATTCTCAGACACGTCGACACGGAGTGAAGGAAACACATCTCAATAGCCTTTTCTCAAAAGGACAAACCTTTCCTGCGGTCACAGCGGTGCTGCATTGGTATGCTGCTCTCAGTTTAGCCGAGAGCCAAGCGGTATCAAACTCTCCACGACCTCCGACTCACATCCCAACACAGAAAAGAGAGAGAATACCGAAAAACAAATGGGAAATGGAGCGCAGAATCTCAGTTTGAATCTCATTTGAAAACTGAGTGGCCTGACAGAAGCAACACAGGCATCCCAACACCCCTTCCAAAGGCTCTGAACATACACAAAATATTATATGTACAACCACAAACATCGTTGAGTGCGTAAGTTTGCAATGCATGCCCCTTTTGTTATTTAAGTTTATAACCAACTTTGAGAATGTATACAAATATAAGAGATGAGATTATTTTTAAGTACTGCCCTTCAGAAACTATATAAGCTATTTACATATTTCCCACAAGACAAAAACTAATAACACTTTAATTCTGTTCTTCATAACATACGTTTCATTCTTGAGCATCAGTGAATGTTTGCAGCTTTTGGTTGTGTTTGAATCTCTCAATCGCCCTCGGTGTGAAAGCTGTATCTCAACATCACACAGTTACTGCTGGGTAGGGTTCAAATGTGCAGAAGATGCAGGAAAACCAAAGAATGTGCAGGAGCTATAGCTACTGTTTCTGAAGAGCAGTGGGCAGTTTAACTGCTCAGGAGAGAGAAGGGACTCATGAACAACTATCAGAAAACACACACACCAGGAAGATACACAGCATCATGTGTGTCAGTTTGGTTATCACGGTGTCTGTGGACAGATGCAGATATCTGTGAGAGAGCTTCATCATGGCAGGACTACATACAAAACAAGTACATTTTATGGCCCCCCTAATTTCCCTAAAGGATAAATATCCTGCAGGTTCTTTGAAGTAAACATGCAGTACATATTCAGCTGTATATAAATTGAGAGAATACCTTATAAACATTAATACGCATTTATATTTGTATAACATGTTGTGCTAATTACAGTTTTGATCACTGTGCTATTGGTCTAAAACGTGGAAAATATTTAAAATAGTGAAGGTGCCATAATAACTCAGAAATGTAACCAACAGAAAGACAGTGTGAAAAATGAAAAATAAAGAACTGGCTGAGATAATAGGCGAAGCACAGATGAGGTGAGATAGAGAGAAAGAAGACAGGAGAAGAGAGTAAAAGCAGTGGGTTTGGAGGAGAGAGTAACGGATGAGTATAGACGAGTGTAAAATGGATCTCGCCCGAGAAACTGGATTGCTTTCTGGAACTGAAGACAGCGAGCGATTGGGAGAGAATTGAATGAAACTTGCTTTAGAGAAGAACAAAATATAAGAAGCAGTGATTCATCTCTCTTAGAACAGCCTGAACCGTCTAAAGGGCCTAACACAAAATTTCCAGAATCCATTCAGAATAGCAACAGAGAGACAGAGAAAGTCCAATCAAACCAGCACTGCAGTCTGTAAGAGTCAAGGGTTCTGTAGCACGACCATTACAACAGATTGAACGCCATAAACAGAAGAATGAAGCACAGGGCTTAACGAACGACACCTCGTCTGAAACATTCCCCCTGGATACATCCAAACCTAGGCAAACACAAAGAAGCAGAAGAAACGTCTTACCTTCTTTGCAGTATTTCCCTCGGAAGCGTGTGTGAGAGCAGTCGCAGTAGACCTCGCCGAACTGGACGCTGCAGTATCCCCCGTTGAGGCAGGGGTTCTGCTTGACGCACAGATACTCCAGATCGTTATGAATGCCGTTGCTGTTGAGGACAGTGGGAGGCATCTCGCCCACCTTCAGATTGGAGATCAAGCCCATGAACGGAGGCTCGTATTTGACCGTGCTGGACGTGAGCGCAGACAGACGCACGTCCGGAGGGATGCCCCCCACGAACAGGTCGCTGACGACCGCCATCTCCTTGCGCTTGGAACGCACCTCCGCCACTTTGGTTTCCCCGTCCACCATCAGCATGGTCTCGCGGTAGTTTCGGGTGAGCAGCACCATGTGCCAGCGGTCGTCGCTGACACGGGTCTCCATCTGGAGGGCGGCTGGCTCGGCGCAGTGGATGGCGAAGCGCAGCTGCAGGTGTCCGCCACCGATGAGCAGCTCTAGGAAGTCACAGTTCCCGCCGTCGTCCAGGTACAGAACCAGCGCCTTGCTCACGTTGGTCTTCAGGCTAAAGCTGAGCTCCCCGATCGAGCCGGCCTCCCAGCGGGCGTAGCGAGCCCACTGCCCCGGGGCCCCGCCGAACTCCAGGGCCCCCGCCGACAGAAAGAGTCCAGCCAACAGCAAGGGCCACAGGGGCCAGAGAGAGGACCAGCACCCGGACTGCATTTCACCCACCCTGATGATACGAGCTCAGAAACCTGCTCTCGGCAGAGCTGAGATAGCGCTCAGAGTTTCTGTTTGACTACGATCGCAGATGAGGCCAAGACGGGCCAATCGTTCACTCGTTTTCTCTCTCTTTCTTGGCCTGTCTGCACTTTATCCAGACTCTTTCTGTAGTCTCTCCATTGGTCGGTGCATTCGGCACAGGCAGGGCGTGATGAGGGATAGATGGGAATTCCTGCTTTTTAGCCCCAGCTTGGTCGCCAATTTAAGTTTTCTCTGAGAGGCTTCCAATTGAGGTTTCAAAGCACTGTGATTCTTGGGTTTCCTTCAGGCTGATGCTGAGAGGCGTGATGCAGCTATCTTGAGTCCTGTGGACCACAGGTGATGCTCATGGCTGAGTCTTAACCTGCAGGTCATTTGTCCATGTTCATCCAAATAGCCTTATCCTACACGAGGAACGTTCTACTGGCCGGCATTCTCCAGACCTGCAAGACAAAAGGGAACATTTGATTAGCTACAGCAGCATACTGAATACAAACAGACAGGGTTATGGTTTCGAAACAGATATTCATTGACAAACTGCGCAGACACTGAGATTTGAGGTTTGTGAGGTCGTCCAAATAACTGCCTGTGGTGTTTCAGATCTGTTTGGTGTGAAAATGACCTGCTACATGCTAAATCACACAGTCAACTTCAGAAAGTGTGAAACGCTGCCGTTTGCCTGTGTGAACCAGCCTTCAGAGACCAGCAAACACAATGCTCTGACTTAAAACTGTGAAAATACCAAAGTCATGTTTCAAAGAAACAAAACACAAGAGAACACACAAACGCTCAGCCAGACCTTCACAGTGACACAAATTAATTCTCGGTTCCACACACTGTATCGTCTCTCATTACGCTGATGTATCTTAATGAAGATCTGTGCTGAACACTGATGTTTATATTACGGCGCTGCTGTAATCTCATCTGAAACAAAATGTCGCTGTCTGGAAAGGCTGATTGCTGCTCTTGACCCGTCGGCCTTGACTAAGACCTGCCCATTATTTCTGAAGAGAGAAGTGAACTGCCCGCATGAAACGCTCACAATTAAACACTCGTCTTCCTCCACCGGATCTCTCGGCTAAGCAGATCAGCCCTTCTGTAGAGGGGAACTATTCCTCAAACTTTAACTGCTTGTCATCCTCCTCATTTACAAGTCGCTGAGAATAACAGCATCTGCTACATGAATAACTGTAAAAGGTAACTGTTTAACTTCACTGAATTAGACCACTCCCATCCCTTTAACCACACCCCCTCAGCAGAAAACCCCACCATCTAAGGATTCCAGCCAATCGGATGTGCACAAATTGATTGACAGGCACAATACACTGACGATCTTCTTCAATCAGAAGTGTGTGTGCATGAGATTATTCTGATAGATTGTGTCCTCGCATATCAGAGATCACACACACACACTGCAGAGTCTGACGTGAACTTCAGCTAAAAGATCCTAAAATGTTGTTTTAGTGTAAAAATTAATTATAAATGCTGCAAACGAGTATGTTAATATTGAGCGACAACACTGAATAAATCTCGCAGGAGAACACGGAGCCATGTTGAACGTGAGCCATTAATAAAGGGTCAGTGATTGTCAGATGATGATAATGAGCCTCTTCATGCGTATGAATATATAATGTCCACTTCAGAAACAGCAAAGCACTTTTTCAACATCCACGTGCCCCGTGGGTCACACCACTGAGAGTGTGTGTGTGTGTGTGTGTGTGTGTGTGTGTGAGAGACGTGCTTGTTGAATGCGGTGTCGGCAGCACTAGGACGAGTGTTAATGTTTGCTTTTGCTCTTGGGTAAGTTTGTGTGCGCATGTGAAACTTAAACATGATCTATCGGGTCATTTTCTGCTTGGCTGCTCTGGTTCTTTCAGTGTTTTTCTGTGACCGGCTGGGCTTTCTGAACTCTGCCATCAGGTGCATGTGTGCACTTCCTCTTCCACAGGAAACACTGCTAGACAGAGGTCATAGTGCTGTGTTGACCTCTGACCTGTAACCCCGTTGTGCTGCATTTCTTTTTCTTTTTTTTCAGTTGTTTCACTTCTTAAGTTTTATGTAGTTTTGCTTCTCTTTTCTTTTTACACCATTTTAATTAAACAGTTGCTTTGGCAATATGAATATAAAATATTTGTCTATATTTATATATATATATACGTCTGTATATAGCATGACTGTGTCATGTTTGTCTGCGATTCTCAGCTGTGTGTCCATCACTGATGCCCTCTGAAGTCATTCCTCTGTCAAACAGCTGTAACATCATCATGTCACTTCATTAGCTTCATTTAAATAACAGTTCATTAAAAATAAAACCTCTTAGAACAAGCGTCTGGTACGATGTTCACACAGTTAAAACTGACACTCATTTACACCGACTAAACTCCACAGAGATCTCAGTGTTACACGTGCTGCATGTGTTAGAGCCGAACTCTCCGTTCGCTTCAGTGTGTCTGTATAGTGCTGTTCACAGTATATGCAGCTGTACAAAGAACTGAGCCACACACCTCCAGAGAGCAGCCAAAAATCCCTGAGAGGTTCAAGGAGATGAAGAACAACCCTCAGCTGGAGGAGCTCTCTTCCTCCTCGGGCCGAAACAGAAAATCATCCGATCCAGACTAACACAATGACATTTGACGCAGTTTATGAGCTTCATCACATTCTGATTTTGGGGATTTCAGGTAAAAGATTTTGTACATCATGAGAAAACAAAGTGAACTGCTGCCGTCCACTTAAACAGAGACAGTTTTCCTGAACTCTTCTGAACAAGAATAAGATTCAAAGGGGACCATTGAAATCTTCTGTTCTTACTTTAAAATGCACAATTTTCCCCAGTGTGCCATGAAGCGGTTTCCATGTGAGTCTGTGAGAGAGAATGAACACACACAGACCATCAGCGAAGGGCAATTCAACCCAAACCGTCTGCAGTAAATGACTCTGTATTACCAACTTAACTAAAGTGTCAAAAAGCAATTTGCCTCCCGCACACCAAGAGCCTCAAATCCACACCTTATTAGAGCGGCTGGACTCTGGTCTGGACCGGCTCTATTTCGGCCGCCGGTTCTCAAACCGACTGATCGGATGAGAGGCTGATGGAAAAAGGATGAGACTGGAAATATAAATGGGAGCGGGAGAATGTGACCGATATGAGCGTGATTCTAATGAGCTTCAGCTAGGGCTGGACGATATGGCCAAAATTGATATCACGATATATTTCTTAATTTCGGTCGATACGATATAATTCCGATATCGATATGAACACTATTTATCTGAAATAGAAATCTTTTGTAACATTATAAATGCCTTTATCATCACTTTTGATCAATTTTAAGCATCCTTGCTAAATAAAAGTATTAATTTCTATAATTTCTTTCCCAAAAAAATAATAAAAATTATACTGAATGGAATAGTGTATAATGTTACAAAAGCTTTTTATTTCAGATAAATGCTGATCTTTGGATCTTTCTATTCATCAAAGAATCCTGAAAAAAAAATGTACTCAACTGTTTTAAATATTGATAATCAGCAAATCAGCATATTAGAATGATTTCTGAAGGATCATGTGACACTGAAGACTGGAGTAATGATGCAGAAAATGTACCTATGTATGATCACAGGAATAAATTACATTTTAAAATCTATTCAAATAGAAAGCAATTTTAAATAGTAAAAATATTTCAACATTTTACTGTTTTTGCTGTACTTTGGATGAAATAAACGCAGCCTTGGTGAGCAGAAGACCATTCTTAAAAAAAAATAAAAATAAAAACAACATTAAAAATCTTACTGTTCAAAAACTTTTGACTGGTAGTGTAGGCTGATTATTCTTATAGATTGAAACAAATGTGCTTCAGCCAGAAAAAAGGGTATGAAAAGTGCTCCGAGTCGCTGCAGAAAACAAAAAAATTGAACAACAACAAAAACTGGAAATGTTGCTGGAGACGGGCTTATTTAAAATGAAAACTCATGCTCTGCTAGCAGGAGGCGCTTTTAGAGTGATAGAACTAGCGGTTTCTCCAGTAATGGCTGTAATCAAAGCAGCTCCGCTCATGAACGCTTCTTTATCAGATCAAATGAAAATGCCATCGAAACTTTTCTGAAGACAGTCGGTTCCCTTCACAGATACATTTATATAAAACACCCGCGACATTTTTTGATTTTGAAACGTGCAGTGCTCATGTTTATTCAACGAAGTCAAACGGCACAAATAAATCAATGTATGGGAAACACTGGTAATGTATATCGAAATATCGGAAATGTGTTTAAAAATTATATCACCGTTATTGAAAAAAATTATATCGCGATACATATTGATATTGAATTATTGTCCAGCCCTAGCTTCAGCACACAAGCTGCCAATCGATTTATCAAATTAATTAGTCGTATTACAATTAAATCACATATAGTGAGAGAAGCCCTCAAATGAAGGTCATTTAAAGGCATTATCGCGGCAGATGAGTAAACCATTGAACAAATAATAAAGGTGTTACATTGTCAATATACAGTTAGTTTCTCATTACTGATCATCAGTGAATCAATGGCCTTCAGTCAGCAGTGATCAGATCAATATATCAGAGGTTAGGGCCATTCACAGACCAAGTTCTCAGCCGCTCCATCTGTTTTTACATTAATAGCACGTTATTGGTAAAAGGCCGAGTGTAACAGACTCTACAAGTCAAATTTATTTGTACAGCACTTTCATGTATTGTTTCAAATCAGCTTTACATCAACAATCGAGATGTTAATGTTTATAATATCTTAGTACCTTCATGTCATTTAGCTGGGCGATAATACAGTGGGTACGGAAAGTATTCAGACCCCCGATTCTCTGGTCTGATGAGACCAAGATAGAACTTTTTGGCCTTAATTCTAAGTGGTATGTGTGGAGAAAACCAGGCACCTGTCCAATACAGTCCCAACAGTGAAGCATGGTGGTGGCAGCATCATGCTGTGGGGGTGTTTTTCAGCTGCAGGGACAGGACGACTGGTTGCAATCGAGGGAAAGATGAATGCGGCCAAGTACAGGGATATCCTGGGCGAAAACCTTCTCCAGAGTGCTCAGGACCTCAGACTGGAACTAAGGTTTACCTTCCAACAAGACAATGACCCTAAGCACACAGCTAAAATAACGAAGGAGTGGCTTCACAACAACTCTGTGACTGTTCTTGAATGGCCCAGCCAGATCCCTGACTTAAACCCAATTGAGCATCTCTGGAGAGACCTAAAAATGGCTGTCCACCAACGTTTACCGTCCAACCTGACAGAACTGGAGAGGATTTGCAAGGAGGAATGGCAGAGGATCCCCAAGTCCAGGTGTGAAAAACTTGTTGCATCTTTCCCAAAAAGACTCATGGCTGTATTAGATCAAATGGGTGCTTCTACTAAATACTGAGCATTTTTCAGTTTTTCTTTTTTAATAAATTTGCAAAAATGTCAACAATTCTGT